TAACATATCGTCTACAGAAATACTTTTGTTCTTCTTAGACTGGTATGATAAAGTTGTCTTTTTTGTTTTTGATCCATTGAACGATAACAAACATCTGGCTAACCATGAATTTTATCCCTAGGCATTATATATATTGTCCATAATTTTACTATTGAAAATGATTAGATATATATCTCATTCTATGCACTACAGAATGTGCAAAATTGTATCTACCAGTTTATTGTCTCTTATTGGGGGATGTAACGGACACACTTTTCTCAGTGATGACTTCTGAACTATTGCTTCATAAAATCCTAGTGTCTTTTTTGCTGTTGTTGAAACTATCTTTATGCTTCCTGATACAACTATTTTCTGTATAATTAATTTTATTCAGTTGTTAAGCTCTATTTTTTGTGTGATATTTGTCACAAACACCCTATACTTCAGCGCGTTTCATGTTTTTTTTTATATATATATATAGATATCATGTCTGTTGTATTGAAAAATGTTCTATCTGTATTTAAATGTATTGGATAGGAAAATAAAAATTTGAAATAAATAGCTAAATAAAGCACTATTCTGTAAAACTGCTGCCACCTAGCGGTCACTGAAGAACAATTAATTATTGTCAAAAGAATTCATCCCCCTATAAACCTGGAAAAGTGCTGTCTGGCTCTTTAAGTGAAAAGGGAAACATGTTGTTTTCAAGCTTCATTTTAAAATAAGCACATAGCAGAAAACAAGCAAGGAGTTAAAAAGACTGCTTTTTCATACCTTATTTTAAAGTTATTCTCTATAAAATATAATTTTATTAGTGTGAATTGTTTTGCTGATGAATTATGTAAACACAAAACATTGTTATTGATGGCTGCAGGCTACTCTAAAATTAACCAGCCCTATTTTATCTACTTAAAATATCCACTTTTTATTTTATTTGTTTCTGCTCCTCAAAACTCTATATTTTCATTTATTAATGGTCTCCTGCACCACTATTCCTCTGTATAGATGTTCCTCTTAAAACATGCTTATGTGATCTTCAGCAGGGGTATCTGTCACAGTGTTCCGTTTATTGTTTGCATGAGCTTTAATATAGTGGAAAAGATTGCAGCACTATAGGATTAGACATATGATATTCTATGCAACAGAAGTGTTTATGGTTGCAGCAGTGGGAGTCACATTCTTTGGATAATGTGCCGATTCATTATGTGTGCACCCAACATTCTTGTCAATGTACATTGAGAGCACTTGAAGCTGAAGTGTGATTCATTGTTTGTGCCCACAATCTTATATAATAAAGCTTATTACCATCCTAAACTATAGCAAAAATATGTATCCTTATAATTATATATATAACAATGACAACTATTGTTGTAATTGTACTATAAAAATGCGGAAATCCTGAGTTCCCTTAAATCAAGACTAAAAACTCAATTTTTTAGGATTACCTTTCGACTGTTCTAGTTAAAAAGTTAAACTGAAACATCATTAGTTCAATTTTTTTTTGTTATTTTCTTTAGTCCAACTGTTTTTAATGTTCTTTCTTGTTTCTGCATTTTTTATTTACTTTTTCCTACTTGCTTTGATTCTGTTTATTTTCCTGTATTTTAATCATGTAAAGCACTTTGCATTGTCATTGTACTGAATTGTGCTATACAAATAAATTTGCCTTGCCTTGCCTTGCCTATTGATTTCTCTATTAATTCACAGCAGTGAATTGTCTGAAACAAAACATTTTAAATGTAAATTCCCTGTGGTTATTTTAAAATAACATCTAAAAATTTCACAAAAGTCCTAAATCCATCAAATACTGGAGGACTGACCTAAAACATGACTTATTTCATCACATCAATTGTCAATAGGGAACACAGGATAAACAAATGTATTATTTGATTTATTTTACATCTTTAAACATACAAATAAAATCTTAAAAACACTAAACGTAAACCGGAATAAGCAAAGAGTCATCCGAATGAAAAAACAAGCGAAGTAAAATGAAGCTGTTTTTTTTTTTTTTTTTTTTTTTTTTTACATAAAACAATAAAGGCACCCAAACAGCTGGATGCAGAAAATGACATAAATAATTCTCCAACAGTATAAAAAGTGCTTTCCATAACAAAAAGTTTCCACACATCTTAATGTCAAACTTCAATTCTCCAACAATAAAGTCCTTTAAGAGGTTTTTTTTTCTCAGTAAACATGGGTTTGTCACTCTATTTTAGGTCATTTACAGATTGGAGGATTTTTCAGAGTTCACGTTGGATGTGTTTCACCAGCCAGCATAGACTGGTTCTGTGTCACAGGGCAGGCCGTAGTACCGGCCCTGAGGTCGCTCTTTGCGCAGCAGAGGAGTCCGGGCGGCTGCCAGCTCCCTGTCAGGGTCCCGGCGTCGACGAAGAACCAGCAGAATGATGCAGAGTAAGACCACTGGAGAACAGGGTGAGGACGTGATCACCACAGACACTGTATTGGTGTTCCAGCATGATTTCATTTTATCAGCTCTACTTCATAAGTAAATAGATCTTATGACTAAATGTGTCCCAGTCAGCTGTTAGAAGTTAAAACATAATAGGATAATTCTGATTTCCTCTCATTATGTTTTAACTTCTAACTGCTGACTGAGACACATTTAGTCATAAGATCTTCTTATGTATGGAGTTAAAAGAAAAGAAGAAACTGTGGTTCAGTTGTCCAGAACTTGTAAA